CACTGACCAGCAGCCACTCTGTCCTGGCTCCGCCTAGCTGTATTTCTGTACTCTGTGCATCTGCTGGGAGAGTTTCACCAGGACTAGGAGGGGCCCAGAAAGAGGACAGAGAAAGGAATTCGGCCAGGCCTACTGGATCCATCTTACACCCAAATGGAAAACCAGGGAGAGGAGAGGAGTGTGGGGGCATGTCACTCTCAGTGGCCAATCACTAGGACCTGCTGGTTTGCCCAGTGCGGTGAGCAGACAGCTGTTTGTTCATTGCACAGTTCCCATAAGCCACAGCAGGCTGGGTGTGAAAAGGAGCCCAGATCCCATGCAGGTTCCATTTAACCTCCAAACCTGTTGGGGCAGAGCAGTGAGAGAGGCCTTAGTAGCCTGTTCCCTGCCCCTTTGCTACCTACAGAGCCCAGAACTTCCCATGCACCCTGGGGGCTAGAAGGCAGAGGAACAGCCCAGCCCTGTCCTTGTTCTAACTTACCTCCTCATTATTAGGTGATCTCAGCAGATCACTGCATCTTCAGAGTCTCAGTTTCCTCATGAGTAAGATCCCTGCCAGCCACAGTGGCCAGGAGAGTGGGCATGTGTGGGCTAGAGTGGTTTGCACAGGCAAGCAGTACCTGAAGGCTCAGGGCATAGCCTTCTAGAAAGGAGCCCCAGGATTTTCTGTGAGATGTGAATACAAACACAAACTCACTCCCTCCCCCACCCACAAAGATTAACGTGTCTGAGAAGCAAAACCCTGGGTTTTCTTTTATTGTAGTAGTAAGAAAATTCCATAGATTTCCCCCTTGGCATATAAGCAACTTAGTGGCCTCATTAGAAAGTGTCAGGCAAGAAAACCCAGAGGTAAAGTATTCATTTTCATTCTTGAGGTGAACAGTACCCTGGTCATAGGTGATAGGTGACTCAAATCTCAGTGATAGAACCTGATCTTCACCTTAGCTTTCTGGGGAGATGTATAGACTCCCCGAGCTCCTGGCTTCCATTTTTAGCGAGAGGGATGTGCTGGCACCATCTCAAAGGCCCATGTAGCAAAGGCACCAGTCAGAGGTCATCCACCAGGTCATGTTAAGGGATGGCACATATACTTCTGGGTGAGCTGACTCCAAAGAAGAATTTCCTACAAATTTTGAGGAGCATTGCCCCTCCTCTGCAAATGGAGGTGTTTTGCTTTGCCCTAGTCTTTTTTTTTTTTTTTAAGATATATTTATTTATGCATACAAGAATGGGAGTATAGGCCAGAGATGCAGGCAGTGAGAGGATCCACCATAGACAGAGTGGGGAACAGAACAGGCAGACTGACTGAAACACACTGCCGAGCGGAGCAGCAGGTGAGTCAGGAGAGGTCTGCTGTGCCATGTGGGTAGCTCCCTGGTTAGGGATCGAACTCGTGCTGTGGTGGCTATGGTTAGCTTCATAGATTGCGTCTTAACCCCTTGCGCCACCAGGGAGGCCCTGCCCTAGTCTTATATTTAGTGGTGAAAGGAGATTTCAGAGCTCCGCCTATCCCAGAGAGAAGGAACTCTCTTATATTCCAATAAGGGTAAGATATATTCTTTCTAGAAAAGAACAAGGCCTGAAAATAGTCACCCCTGATAGTCCGCAGGGCAGGGCAGGGTAGCCAGTTCCAGGGTCCTTCAGTTTCTCTGCTCCACAGGTCCAGTTCAGAAACCACTGTTCAGGGACTCCCTGGTGGCGCAGGGGTTAAAGACAGCACTATCAAGCTATCGCCAGCCACTGCAGCATGAGTTCAATACCCCGGCCAGCCAGGGTACAACCCACATGGCACAACAGACCTCTCCTGACTCACCTGCTGCTCCCCTCAGCAGCTTATTTCAGTAGATCTGCATGTTCTGTCCCTCACTCTCTCTGGTGAATCCTCTCACCCCCACCCCCCCACCCCACACACCTCTGGCTTACACCCCAGTTCTTATATGCATAAATAAATAAATCTTGTAGGGGTGGGGGGCGGGAAGAAACCATTAGTTCATATGGTTAAGAGTTTAGGCTTTGGATGGACAGCCTGGGTTTGAACCACACAGTCTCTTTCATCTGTAGTGTGTACGTTCGTTAGTAGTAGGTAACGTATAGACTTCTTCGGGAGATTAAGTCTTCAAAAAGTGCTTAGACTACAAACTGGCACCTGGTATAGCTCTCAGTAAATGTTAGCCTCCTCTCCTGCTGCCATGTGCTAGGTACTTTGTAAAGAAATAATTTGCTTCTCACAATCACACTGTTAAGGGAATGAACAGGCCCCATGTTAGGTCTTGAGAGGTAGAAGGGCCCCAAAGCCCAGGTCTGTGGCGCCCCAAAGCTAGAATTCTTCCCATCACACCAGTTAGTTATGTGTTAGGAAGCCAGTGTTTCTTCATAAAATTCAGCATGTGCTTTCCCCATCCACACCACTCTGGGCATGCCTGGACTTCCTGTAAGTGACTCAGACCCTACAGGGGACTGGAGAACAGTGAATTCTGTGAGCCAGCCCATGCACCTGGTCCACTCATCATCTTTCCTCCTATTGTTCCCCATTTCCAGCAGCCTAGGTATGTCCTAGATTTGCAGAATGGCAAGCCTTCTTTACAAGTGTCCTTATTCACCACAGTGAATAAGGATGAACCATGATACTCAGGATGCCTAGAATGTTACCCAAGGAAACTCCTCCTCCAGAAAGGCCTCAAATAGCCCCATCTGACACTCAATCCAAACCCAAGAATTGTTTTGAGAAAGGACCAGTCTTTATGTTTTATCTCAAAATCAATCCTAAACCTACCTTCTCTCTCTTTTATTAACATTTTCTAACAGTGGGGCCTCCCTGGTGGTTGCAGGGGTTAACATTTCAGTGCTATCAAGCTATTAGCAGTCACTTCGACATGAGTTCGATCCCCAGCCAGGGAGCTGACCCACAATGGCACAGCAGACCTCTCCTGGCTCACCCGCTGTTCCCCTCAGCAGTTTATTTTGGTAGATCTGCCTGTTCTGGTCCCCATTCTGTGTCTGGTGATCCTCCCACCTCTACACCTCTGGCCTACACACCCAGTTCTTGTATGCATAAGTAAATAAAAATAAATCTTTTAAAAAAGCATTTTTTAACTGTGATAAAATATATATGAAATAAAATTTACCATTGGTAAGATGTATGATTCAATCTGCCCTCACTTTTTTTTAAAATATTTATTTATTTATGCATACAAGAACTGGGGTGCAAGCCAGAGGTTTGGGAGGTGAGATGATCACCAGAGACAGAGTGGGGAGCAGAACAGACAGATGTACTGAAATACACTGCTGAGGGGAGCAGCAGGCGAGATATTTGAAGTGTGCTGCACCATGTGGGTTGCTCCCTGGCCAGCTGGGGATCAAACTCGTGCTATATGGGGATCAAACTCGTGCTATAGTGGCCGGCAGTAGCTTGATAGCACTGTCTTTAACCTCTGCACCACCAGGGAGGCCCTGCCCTCACTCTTGACTTGAGGAATTTAAGATGCTTAAGGGCAACTTTTTTGGAAGTAACTTCTGCCCCAGATGAAGCAAGAGATCTTCCCCTTAGAATCCAACCTATTTGTCCAAAAGTAATTTTTTCTTTAAAAAATAGTTTTAGTTCTTAGTTTCTAAACACAGTGCCTTGTAACTAACTAGTTTGAGAAAGTTGAAATCTGAAATGTCTAAGCCATATTCTAGGTCTAACTGACAATTTACTTATTAATGGTAACATTCACAGCTCAAAATAGTTGCGTGCTGACATTTTCTGGTGACACACAGATGTATTGAGGCTCTCAGGGCATTGTGTAAGTGAGGAAGGATGGCGTAAGGACTAATGGGCTTGAGTCCACTTGCCGAATCAGGACCATGATCAGAGTTAAAAGAAGGAGGGAAAATTCCCAGGAAGCCCTCTTCAAAAGGTGAAGAAGCGCTCGGGGGACTCTAAGACTTCCCCCCTCCCTCCTCCTCCAGCTCCACCGCCATTGCCTTCCCCTTCCCCCTCCTCCTCCTCTCCAGAGCTCTCAGTGGCAGTCTGGGCGCTCTGTCCTCCAGTGCTGGCAGGTGTGTTTCACAAAGCTCAGCTCACACTTGCCCCTGCAGGGGCCCCAAACCCCTCCATGGGAATTCTTGCCTTTCCATTCAGTGACGAACATTTACCAGGAGCATTTAGGAAGTTAATATTAATCAGAACCAGACAGATGCCCTGAATGCTCACACCCTTAGCAGTGCCGGCGAGGCCCCGGATTGCCTACGGAAAGGGACCCCTCTCATGCCTTCTTCTTCAGTTATCCTGACAGAAGTACAAGGATGAGAGTACAGGAGAAGGGTGGGTTAGTGGTTGCTAATACTGTGGAATTACCCATTACAGCCATGTAGATCATCAAAGTATAATGCCAGCTCGCCCTGGGATCACAGTACAGAAAGGTACTCTCCCCTGAAGGGGAGGACCAGGTCTGCCTTACTTGTTGTACCGCCCACGCTTGGCACAGCGCTGGCTGATACATACTGGATGTGAGCACAAATATCGAATGAAAGGATGAATTTAATACCTTCCAAATTTTCAAACTAAATTAGCAGTGGGGACAGGGAACCTCCAAGGTACTTTTTCTTTGAATTTTCTTCAGGAAAACTATTTGAATGATACTGGAATGTTATAAAGTACTTGCCCAGTCCACCTCCAACTAGCCAAACCCTTGGGTTATCAGTCTGCCCCTCAAAGTTAGGGGAAGTTCTCTCTCAGCCCAGCCCCCAGGCAGCCACCTGCCTTGTGGCTCTCTGCCCACTCCATGGGCACAGCCTGTCAGGTGTCTTCCTCATGGGGCAGCTCCATCCACAGAGGAAGAAGATGCTCGGGGAATGACAGTAACTCCCAGGCCCACGGCTTGCTGATCAGCAGCAGGTTTCTGGTTTAACCCCACCGCTGACCAGCAGCAGTTTGGCCTCCCCAGTGTCCCACTGGGCCCCCAGCTCTGCGTGGAGCTGGCTAGAGCTAGCTCATCATCTGTCTGCGTTTCTTCTAGGAAGATGATGAGAAGCTAATTGAGGAAATCCAGAAGGAAGCTGAAGAGGAACAGAAAAGAAAGAATGGAGGTAAGTGTTCTCCCCTAGCACAGACCCCAGCATTCCATGTGCAGAGGGGAGAAAGAGACCCCCGCCTCTGCTGGCCCTCCCTGAGGATCCTGGCTCTCCACCCAGCCAGGCGTGACCCAGGGAGTATATCCTTCAGGTGGCCATAGACATCTCCACACAACCAGCTCCCACAGCGAAAGCTGTGAAAGCTTAGAGACGGTTTAGCTTCTCCTTCATGGCAAGGAGGTTCTGAGGGGTAATGTTCAGCTTAGGAACCAAATAGAAGCCCAACCAGATTAAAAAGACAGTGTGGCTCATCCAGACCCTGGCTCTAAAGGCACATCTCCACAGATGTTCCACCTATGCTGAGGTAGATAATCCACGGCCTTCCAAGGTGATTGCTGAGGAGTGTGACACATTTGTCCTTGGTGGCCGCTGGGGGGTAGAGAGGGAGAGAGAGGGGGAGAGAGAGAGAGAGAAGAAGGGAGAGGAGGGGAGGGGAGGGGCGGGGCGGGGAGGGAGGAGAGGAGAGAGAGAGAGAGAGAGAGAGAGAGAGAGAGAGTGTGTTACTTGTTGTGCTTACTGTTGCCCCTCCAGTGTCCAGAGGTAAGAATGATGCTGGAGGCCAGAGATTCCTGCCTCATATAATGCTCCTGACACACCCCCAACTCCAGGCAGGTGGGCCAGGGTCTCGAACCAGGCTAGAAGAGCTGTTTTTAACCTGTTTTCTCTACTAAGTCCTGTCTCTTCCTCCTCCCTCCCCGTCTCAGAAAACACCTTCAAGCGCATCGGGCCTCCCTTGGAGAAACCTCCAGAGAAAGTTCAGCGGATCGAGGCCCTGCCAAGGCCTGTCCCACAGAACCTGCACCAGCCACGCATGCCGCCCTATGCCTTCGTGCACCCACCCTTCCCCCTACCGCCTGTCCGGCCCATGTTCAACAACTTCCCCCTCAACATGGGCCCCATCCCAGCACCCTATGTGCCCCCTCTCCCCAATGTACGTGTCAACTATGACTTCGCCCCTGTCCATGTGCCCCTGGAGCACAACCTGCCCATGCACTTTGGCCCTCAGCCGAGGCATCGCTTCTGACGGCCAGGAGCCTATGGGGGTCTGTGTCCCCACTAAGTAGCCTGAGCCTTTGCGGGTCAGGGCTTGGCTAGACCTCCCTTCACCTCCAGGCTCACGACTCTTCCCATGCCTTCTAAGTAGGAGTGACAGACTCAGCCCAAAAGGATAGGTCGGTTTTCTTCCGCTTCTTCCTGGGAAGGGCCACTGCCCCTTTAAGATTGGCCAGCAGACCAACACTCTCCGAGTGCCCATAGCACGATGGGCCTGGTGCACACCAGGCCAGAGATAAGAGACAGCAAAAATCCTCTTCCTAAAGAGTCCTGCCATCCTGGCCACCCGTGCTGACACCAGAATTCCCTCAGTAACAAACCACGTAGGCCTTCCTTACCACAGCACAGCCTGGTCTGTAATAAACCTGAAGTAGCAACTAGTGCAGTTTGGAGAGAACTGAGAGGTCTGAACAGTGTTGTGCAGTGAGCTCTTCAGCCACCCCTTGGCACTGAGGCCCACCTAGAATGAGTTGTGCCCTCTGCTCTGAGCCAGGCAAGCACCTGCATGAGGGGTTCAGGACCTTCTGCCCTTCATGCCTTCTCTGGGTGCTGGCCCCTTAAAGACTCTCTGTTGGTCCAAATAGGCGGCGGAGCAGTGTCCACGGGCCAGGGACACTGCTCCCCTGCTCCTGCAAGTCCAGAACCTCAGGCTGCCATGATAGTGAGGGTCCTTTTCCTCTTCCCTCTTGAGCCACTCAGACGAGCCCACAGAGCCATCTCATGCTATGGGCTCTGTCTGTAGTTTAAAGAAATGTTTGCTGTTTACTTAACTTGGAATTTAGCTAGCTTTCCACAGCCTACTCGAGTTTTCTCCCTCAGGCTAAGAAGTCTGTTCACCTAGACCAGGCAGCTCATGAGGGCAGGATGGTTCTGAAACTTTGGTCGAACAGAAGGTCCTTTAGAGGTAGCTGTGACAGTGGCCTGGCGGCTCTCCCATGAGCCCAGTTGTTGGGGAGCCTGCTCTGCTACCAATCAGGTAATAAACAGCTCCCCTCGGCTCTTGTGGGGGCAGTAGATTTCCCCGGGAGGGACAAGCAACCTTGAATGCCACTTCATCGGCCGTGTGCTCAGCACTACATACGCAGCGTCCCCGCTGCCACCCACGTGTATGAATGCCGTTGAGGGTCAGCGCTGGAGTCTGAGGACAAGTGTCTGAGTGGAAGAAAAGGCCTCCCCTTCCTTCTGCCCTCATAGTCTCAGTCTTAATGACAAAGGCAGGTGGAGGAGGCTGACTCCCTGGGACTGCAGGTGTGGGGGCAGCTCCCCTCCCAGCTGCCCTTTCCAGCAGTCAGGTGATTCTGGGCCTACATGTGTTGCCACCTTTCCAGCCCCAACGGGTGTTTGAACCACACTGGAGGCTTCTCCCTGCCCCAGACTTCCCTCTGCGGTACTTTGTGCTCCTGCCCGTGTGCAGAGCAGGGGCTTCTGCTGGGAAAGGACCTCCCTGACCCTCTTCTGTTGCCTCTGTACCTGATGCTGTTTCTCCGATGACTGGGTTCCCAGAAGTGGCCCGGTGCCCTGTCACTGTGTCCCGCTCTCCTCCAACAGGAGCCTGCCTGCTCCTGTGGGGGCTGTCCCCTGGCTGAGCACCCCAGGATGCAGTCACACATTGTTTCAGCTTCTCAGATGTCTGAGAGCTGGAATAGGGAAAATCTGCTCAACTGTCCATCCTGCCTTGGCTCCGGGTGAGTGCTTTGAGACAGGCAGTCATTTGGGCATGAAGCAGCCATGCGAGAGTATGCTTATGTCCAGTCCCTGCTGCCGGTTCCTCTCAGTTGGGCTGCCAGCCTGCTTGGGGGGCCTTGTAGAGTGGCAGAGTTGCTTCCTTCAAGTAATTTAACAGCGTACTCCTGTGCTGCCCCAAGAGGGAGTCTTAGAGCAGTGAGCCAGCAGCAGTTATCCTCAGATGGAGGGTGACCCCAAGTGTGGTCCACTTGTCCCACCATGACAGCACTCACTGTTAGGCCTCGGCCTCCTGAGCTGATCGATCTCTCAAAGGAACCCAGTTCCACCTCTGCCCTGCAACCAGGGTGTGTCACTCCATGGGGACCTGGGCGGTGTAAGGACAGACCCCGACAGGACAGACATGCCCCTGACACTGCCATCCGTAAAGTGGGAAGGAGGAGGAGGCCAGAATATTGCTCCTGACCCCAGCCCTCCTCACAGGCCAAACCAAGGACTTGTGCTTCGAGTGTGAGCCACACACAGCCTCTTGGGGACGGTTCCAGCCTTTCCAAACCAGAGGCGTCTGAACTTCTCTCCTCCACCAGGCTGAGGCAGCTCACAGGTCTGCAGACAGCACGTCACAGAGGGAAAGTCATAGCCAAGAGTTCGGATACTAGCATAAGTCCACGTGTGTGCAGGATGACCCTCCAGGTGCCTCAGCATTCCAGGGGCAGGACGTGGGCTCTGGGTTCTCGGCAAGCCAGCCTTGCTAGTGATGGGGTTTAATGGGCTGAGAAGCCATCAGGTGGCTGCAAAACAGAAATGACAGGAGGCCTGGAGCAATCAGCCCCTGTCTAGGGCACCAAGGCAGCCTGGCACCTCCCCCCGGCTGCAGTGCTGGCTCCCCAGAGCAAGACTGCCCAGCGACAGTCCCCTTCTACTTGCCTTAAAACTGGAGAGAGGAATCTAGTATTTGCACTGAGCAAAGAATTTCAACACTTAAAACGATGTGCATGACCTGTCACTTTGTATTAAAATAGCAAAATGATTAGTTTATCGAATTTTTTTCTTTACCTTCTGGTAGTAAAAATACATAAAATAATTGTTTAAACTACTGTGTGTAAAAAGCTTGTATTATATGTAACTTTGACTTTTGTAAATAAATGTTTGTGTGCTCTACTGCCTCTGCTTTCCTTTCTCTGCTCCTCACAGGCAGGCAGCCCCGCAGATTCCTGGGACGCACTTAAATCTAAAATAACCTTCCGGGGGCGGCAGGCGGCTGCCGGAACTGCAGGCACCCGTGGATACCCAATAAGTAATAACAGTCCCCCAGGGGCTGGTCCTTCTCTGGTTTCCCACTTAGCCCCTGCCCAAGGAAAATCCAGTGACCATCTTGCTAAGTAACCCTCAGGGCTGTGGGGCATGGGTTTGCCTTTGTTATCCGAGGGCAGGGTGCCTTCAGGAACAGCGCGGGAGGCTGCTCTCCCAGGCAGCCCGGCCCTGGCAACCAGAGAAGCCATCCTCCCAAAAAGGGAGGTCCGGAGCTAAGAGAGAACCTGTGCAGAGGGACCCTGGCCCCACTCGTGCCCCTAAGGCACAGCCTCTTCCCTGCGTGGGCCCCTGGAGCGAACCAGCCCCAGGCCAGGCTGGCAACAATAGGCCCCAGGGCCTTTGAGGAGACAGATGCTTGGGTTCAAACTGAGCTCAAATTTGTAGTAAAACAAGGGGCTATCCTCTCCCAGTGTTGGCAGCTTTTTATTGAGCAAGATTTTTTTTTTTAGCCTGTCTGAACAAAGTGCATGGAAATAACATCCAAGACGAGTTACCTCATAACGGCAGGGAGGTGGGGGGAACAAAATGGACTGTGGTGGACTACCGGTGCTTTGGTGGTGGGGGAGCTACAGCGCCCGCATGGGAGGGGAGAAATCCGATCCTGTCAAAATATTAACGGGTAGACAATGGTACTTCTAAATAAATAATGAGTGACATCATTTTCTAACTAAACTGGTGTTATTTATCCAATGCCACCTAGTCCTTGATCCTGCACGTGCTACGTATCTGTACAAACACCACAGACTGTTCCACGGTTTCAGTAAGTAGGAATACTCCATCACGGCTCTGCCACTCTGGGCTCTGTGAATTTGGAAACCCTCAGAACATTCCTGAGGCCCACTGGCCTCATAGGCAGGACAGGGACATCAGCACTGCCTTGGCCTGTTGGTCTCCACTACCAAGTTAATTGTCCTTCCTAAGAATACTTTACGGATGAGATTTCTAGTGCCCTTTTCATCGTCCCTGTCCTAACGTCTCAAATCTGTCCTCAAGGAAAACAACGCTTGTATCAGGTTGTTTTTTTTTTTTTGTCAGTTTGATAACTTTATTCGACAGTGGTCAGCTGTCATCCACATGGGCTGAATGTTTTTGAAAGTGGTGATGATAGGAAAACGGGGAATCAATGTATAGGGCTTCTTTGGTGAATCTTCATCCTCATTACGTTTTCTGGACAGCACATGGATGCGGTAGGACTCGCTCCTTACTTCTTTGACCCGGACAGCTTTGTTGAGCCTGGTGTCAATGCCCACAACTGGAGGGCCCATTTCCTTCGCTGCAAATTTCTGGCTCCCTGTCAGTGCTGGGGATACGCATCTTGAAGCCCACTCCACGCACAGGCTGGTGAGTGTTGATGGATTTTGTATTCTCTGGTCACTGCCTCCAAGATGGCAGAGTGGCCCTCCTTCTCACCACCCTTCTTCGCAGGACCCATTCTGCTGGGCCCCGGAGTCTTCTTTAGACAGCGTTGCTTTTAAGTCAGGAGCATTTGTAATGGTAATGTCCAACTTTCATTTCCCTATGGTGAAAAAGTGTCTATATGTGTGTGTGCCGATTATAATTGTTTAAAAGATAGAAAATTCTTCCTTAGAAATCTAAGGAGAGGGCCTCCCCGGTGGCGCAGCGGTTGAGCGCTGGGTTGCGAACCTGCCCGCAGCCTCTGCAGCGCCTGTTCGATCCCCGGCTGCTCCCCGGCCACCGGCGGAGGGTCCCACATGGCGCGCAGACCTCTCCTGCCGCCCGCTGCTCCCCTCAGCAGTGTACTTCGGTCCTTCTGCCTGCTCTGCTCCCCACTCTGCTCTGGTGAATTCTCTCACCCTCCCGCGCTTCTGACTGTACCCAGTGCATGTGTAAACAAAACAAACAAACAAATAAATAAATAAATAAACATGCCTCTATAAAATTAAAAAAAAAAAAAAAGAAATCTAAGGAGCGGGGCCTCCTCCCTCGTGGCACAGGGGTTAAGTCTTAAGTGCTATCAAGCTATCGCCAACCACTGCAGCGCAAGTTCGATCCCTGCCAGGGAACGGACCCACGAGGCACAGCAGACCTCTCCTGTCTCACCCGCTGCTCCCCTCAGCAGTGTATTTCAGTAGAGCTGCCTGTTCTGCTCCCTACTTTGTCTCTGGTGAATCCTCTCACCCCCCTCCCCCCCACCTCTGGCCTGTACCCCAGTTCTACGCAAAAATTAATATTCTTCAAAAATTTTTTTTAAAAATCAGTGTTTCTGTGAAAGAAAATTCATGTTTAAAATAAGAAACTCCAAAGTCAAAATGTTTTGTTACCCAAAGGTAAACACTGACATATTTTTATGTATTTTCTTTGAGTGTGTGTCTCCCTCTGGTATACATACTGCTCACCAAAACCAGTAAACCGGATTAAGCAGGTTTTCATCCTATCTTGAGCACTAGCTAGGTCTGGGAAGGCACTTCTGAATTAATTTTCCATTAGTTCCTCTTTTCCAACTTTCTGCCATAGACTGTGTTACCCTTTTCTTTGAACTTTTGGAGCATATTTCTGAAGACACGCACAGTTACAGTTATCCTGCCTGGCCACCGGCCCTTTCTCCTACTGACCCAGGTGGGGAGAGCACATGTCTTAGAGCTTTTCTTTTTTTTTTTTTAAAGATGTATTTATTTATTTATTTATGCAAGAACCGGGGTACAGGCCATATTCGCGGGAGGGTGAGAGGATTCACCAGAGATACAGTGGGGAGCAAAACAGGCGGGCCGACGAAATACACTGCTGAGGGGAGCAGCGGGCGAGACAGGAGAGGTCTGCTGTGCCATGTGGGACCCTCACCATCCAGCTGGGATCGAACCGGCACTGCAGAGGCTGTGGACAGTTTCACAGCGCGGCGCTCAACCGCCTGCGCCACCAGGGGAGGCCCTGTCTTAGAGCTCTTGATCAGGATGGAGTGGAGAACAGAGAACCTGTTCCTCCCGTTGCTTCCTCTCCATTATCACATTTTTGGCGAAAACAGTCCAGAAATCACTGGCCTGGCTCGGCTTTGCGGTAGACGGTGTCAGTTTAAACCCTCTTGTGAGGGGTATGGAGCAGACGCAGGGTCACTTCTGCCCACTCTGGGGCTGGCCCTGGAGATGGGAGAGCTCGGCAGCTTAAGCTGCCACATTCCCCCTGAACGCTTCCTGGGCTCTGCAGGCACGCAGGTCCCAGGCACGTGCCCCCTCTCCGAGGCCGGCTTCCATCTGGAACGAGGGAGCTGGCCCTCGGGGGGGTCCTTAGGCTCTGGCCAGCCCTCAGCTCTGAGCTTCCATGGAGACAAACAGCTCCCACAAGCCTTGGCAGCAGAGGGAGAAGAGCCTTCCGCAAGCACAGCTGCACCTGGGCCCTGCTCCTTCCTCTTACCCCCCCCCCCCCCCCCCCCTCCCGCAGCTCCGGGCCCAGATCTTTCTCCCCTTGCCACCCCTTATCCAAACACTGCTGGATGCTTTCAGGAAAGCCCAGGGAAGTTCAGAGGAGACTTCCTCTTGCCTCTAGTCGCCATGGCAGCAGCTGCAGGTGACTCTGACCCACCTCCCTCCTCCACGAGCCAGAGCTGCAGCCGGCCCCCTGGAGTGAAGACCACCTCCCTGGGGCCATGACACACGACTCAGTCCTGGTCAGGGGAGCAACGGCCGAGCGTCCCGTGGCGCCTGGAGCTGGTCGGGGTGTACCTTCACCCCGGTGCTAGTCTCTGTGGGTTAGAATGAGGACAGCAGGGATCCAGAGGGCACTTAATGGGCACCTTGGGTTTAACCACTCTTCTCGGGGGTGTCTGTCTGACAGGGCGCCTGGTCGACTCTTACCTCCTTTGCAGCTCTTCCCGCTTGGGCTCCCTGAGCTGAGGCATCTCCTCCGGGCTCTGGCCTGTGTCCCTCTCTCACCTCCCTCTGCCCCCTGCTGTCCGCAGGGACCCCACACATGACTTTGCTCTGAAGCTGCAGCTCTGTAACGGCCCCAAGCAATAGGACACAGCAGAGGCGACTCGGGCGAACTCCCAGGAAGCCCCCCGCTCCTGGTTTCCCGGAGACCCAGCAGCAGCTGTGAGGAGACTCAACTCACCCACATGCAGAAGCTCCGCGGCGACTGGAAAGCCCCCCCGCCAGTCGGCATCAGTGCAAGATGTACGAGGAAGATCTCTAGTCCTTCCAGACCCGGCCCTCCGTCCTTCCGCTGAGGCCCCGGCATCACCAGAGACAGCAGCCCCCTGGCCTGCCTGTCCCGGGATTATTCCAGGCTTACTCCTGGAGGCCCAGCCCGGAGCCTGCCCCCAGCCTTACGTGCTAGCACACGCTCCTCGCTCTGGATCAAACGCCTGTCTGCCTGCAGCGACTTTCTGTTGTCTATGAACTGAAGTCAGCTAGCAGGTGAAGGCCAGAGCCTAGAACCAGGCTTTGAACCCTCTGAACCCCCTCTGGGAGTCAGTACGGATGACTGTCAAGGTTGCTGGTGGCTGACCCGAGCAGCACCTTAAAAAAGAACCTCTTTTCAGTTCAGTGCAGGCTTCTGTGCCCACACTTCCCATTTTGCCGGAAGCTAAGAATCCAGCTTGTTGGGGTCATGGGGTCTTCCTGCCCACCTTTCTACCCACAAAGAGCCTCTCCCCTTGCATCATCCAGCGCTCAAGTCCCCTTTCCTAACCCCAGGTCCGTGGGAAATGCATGTTAGTCCTCCCAGGTGGGTAGCAGTTCGCTGGGCCCCAGATTGGCAGGAGATGGTCCAGTTGCTACCTTGTTCAGAGCGACTGGTCTTGAAGAGCTGAGACATTTTCGCCAACAAAGCAGCACCCCTCCGTGTCCCCATTCCAGAACGTGGGCGCCGTGCTATCTTTGGCCCTCTG